TCCCCCGTCCAACGCAGTGTGGGCGAGGTCTCCGGCAAGGAGACACGGGGCCAGAGGTTGAGCTGATGCGCGGCGTACCGGACAGCAAACGGCCATAGAAAATGGGGAGCCGCCGCGTGGACCAAGGAGGTACGAGCGACCTCCATGACCAGGCCAATGCGGCGCTCAGCAACCCCATTCTGCTGTGGGGAGTCCGGAAGCGTGAAGGTCTGCTCGATGCCCTCCGCCTGACAGAAGGTCCTCAAGAGATCAGAGGAAAACTCACCACCTCTGTCAGAGTGCAGACGCAGGACAGGAAGATCCGTCCGGAAACGGCGGCGGAGCTGGAGACGAACCGTGCGGATCCAAGGGATCAGAACAGCAGGGACCTCACCCTTGGTGCGCAAGGGGAAGACCGTGGTGTAACGCGAGTAGTCGTCGACAACCAGCAAAAAGTACCGCTCACCGCCCTGACCACGAACGCGGGCTGGGCCCCACACGTCCAGGTGGAGGGTCTGCAGAGGAGCCTCTGTCGGGGGGAACGAGGAGGAGTGAGGAGCGGCGCGCTGCCGCCCCTCGACGCAAGGAAGGCAAGGCGGCGCAGGCGAGGCAGGGAGGGGAGGGAGGGACCTGGGAAGACCAGACACAAGGTGGCGACGGTGCATGCCACGAAGGCGTGGCAAGGAGGGGTGACCCAGGCGGTGGTGCCAGAGAAGAGTCTGGTGCGACAGGGAACGACACTCACAGGCGTGGGCTACCAGACCTGACGCAGACACCTGACCGACAGCAGCTACCTGAGGAGACGCAGTGGTCAGTGTGTAGAGACTCGACCCCGGCCGACGGGTAAACGTAGCCAGGTGACGGCCGGTCCTGGAGCACGTGCAGATCGCCACACGCTGTCCGCCAGGGGTAAAGGTGTCAACCCACTGATCCTGGAGGACAGCGTTGCTCACCAGGTTCGTCGAGAACGAGGGGAGGTGGAAACCCGACAACGAGCCAGACGGAACCGCCGGACAAGGGAGGACAGTGGTGGACTGGGCAAGGACTGGGCCCCCAGAGGGGTCAGCCAAGGAGACTGGGACCGGTGCAGGAAGCGGTGTGAGCTCAGTACTGTCACGAAAGAAGCAACGGGAAGCACCTGAGTCAAGGGTGAAGGTGTGACAGGCCTCAGCCGGTGCGGTACCTGAGAGAGCAGTCTCTGTGGGTGCTGTACCTGAGAGAGCAGACTCGAAACCAGCCAGGACAGCACTGGGGGGAGCAAGTACAGGGGGCACCATACCAGAGAGAGCAGACTCACTAGTACCCAGGGCAGCGGGCTCTATACCTGGGTCAGGCGGCACACACAAGTAACAGTCTCCCTCGGCACTAACAGTCAATGCATACATGGCAGCAATAATAGCATCATAGTCAAGAGCAAAGACATCAACACCAGCCCTCATGAGCTCAGCCCAGCGGGGGCGCTCAACATCCGCGCCCATCTCCTCACGCCAAGCATCGTCAAGGCGGGAGAAGCAGCGGTACGGGGTGTGGAACCTCCCACACGTCTGTCCCTTGCGGTCACCTGTGCGAATGACATAAGAACAGCGGCCACTGCCCCCCGACGTCCCACGCTGAGCAAGCCACTCACGAAGCTGCTGGGTCGTCTGGGGACGCTGCTGCTGCTGGGAGCTCTGGCCCGAGCCAGTGCCTCCACTCCGACCTCCGCCGCCACCACTACCACCGCTCCGACCGCCACCGCCACCACCGCCACCACCGCCACCGCCGCCACCGCCGCCGCCGCCACTACTGCCACTGCTTCCGCCGCCGCCCCCGCCTCCACCACCGACCCCACTCCCACCAGCGCTCCCGCCACCGCTCCCTCCAGCACCGCCTCCCCCCCCACCTCCCCCACCTCCTCCCCCCCCAGCGCCACCACCACCACCCTTGCCCCCCTTGCCCTTGCCGGTGCAGCGCTTCCCACCAAGAGCAGAAGCAGCGCCAACAGACTCAGCACCAAGGAAGTCAACAGCAGCAGCAGCAGCGTAGGAGGGAGCGAGGGGAGAGGGAGAACACCCCTCAAAGATGGGGGTGCGAGGAGCGCCACGAGCAGCACCAACAGCTACAATGCTCTTTTCGGCCGCGAGCAGCTGCTCCTCTAGGAGGGCGACTGTGAGCTCAGTGGGACAGCGAGCAAGGAAGTGGTCTCGAACTGAGCGGAGGGTGTCAGGGAGACGGGTGACTATGAAGTGGAGTGTCCAGTATAGTGGAGGGGGGTTCTTAGCGCAGAACTCGGTGGGAAGGGCGGCACGCAGGCGAGCATCACTAGTGCGAAGGTGGGTGATAAGATCGGCGACTGTAGTAAAGGTGGACAGATCGGGGAACAGGTACGGCAGCATGAGGCGGCTAAGCTCGGCTGTGGCAGGTGAGGAGTAGCGAGCAACGACAGCATCGTACAGGGCCTTAGCGGATTTGCAGTCGCCAAAATGCTCGAGCTCAGCTAGCGGCAGGTGACTACGAATGGCTAGGCGAGCAGCTGCGTCACGAGTCTGCCAGTGGGAACGAACACTAAGCTCGGCTGTGGCAGCAGGAGCAGCGGCAGCACCAGACGCGTAGTCATAGAGGGAGATGTGGTCCGTGCTATTGCTCATAAGATACAACTGCAGGTCGTCGAGCCAGGAAGTGAACTGCACGGGACGGCCCTCAGCATCGAAGGAAAGAACGCGAATAGAGGCCATAGCTCAGGCGTGAGGGCACAGCAGAGCAGCGGCAGCAGCAGAGGGGACGCAGCAAGCGGGCAGTGAGGCAGCGGGCGGCGCTGCGAAGCAGGTAGCGGGCGGGCGGGCGGCGCTGCGAGCGGGCAGCGAAGCGGGCGGGCCGCGAAGCGGGCAGCGAGCGGGCGGGCGGGCTGCGAAGCGGGCAGCGGGGCGAGCGGGCTGCGAAGCGGGCGGGCCGCGAAGCGGGCAGCGAGCGGGCGGGCGGGCTGCGAAGTGGGCGGGCCGCGAAGCGGGCAGCGGGCGGGCGGGCTGCGAGGCGGGCGGGCCGCGAAGCGGGCAGCGAGCGGGCGGGCGGGCTGCGAAGCGGGCGGGCCGCGAAGCGGGCAGCGAGCGAGCGGGCTGCGAAGCGGGCGGGCCGCGAAGCGGGCAGCGAGCGGGCGGGCGGGCCGCGAAGCGGGCAGCGAGCGGGCGAGCCGCGGAGCGGGCAGCGAGCGAGCGGGCTGCGAAGCGGGCGGGCCGCGAAGCGGGCAGCGAGCGGGCGGGCGGGCTGCGTGGCGGGCGGGCCGCGAAGCGGGCAGCGAGCGGGCGGGCGGGCTGCGAAGCGGGCAGCAGGACGAGCGGGCTGCGAGCGGGCGGCTCGGCGGGCGGGCGACACTGCGAGGGGCGCGCGAGGGCGCTAGTGAGGGGCGCGCGAGGGCGCTAGCAAGGGGCGCGCGAGGGCGCTAACGAGGGGCGCGCGAGGGCGCTAACGAAGGGGCGCGCGAGGGCGCTAACGAGGGGCGCGCGAGGGCGCTAACGAGGGCGCACGAGGGCGCTACGAGGCTAGGGCACGGGGTAGCGTGGTAACCGCATGCGAGCGGTGGTGGGCCCTTAAAAAAAAAAACGGTCGGTAGGTCCTAGGGACCTCCTGCTCTGAATACCATTTCAGAATAGCTAGGCAAGAATGAATGAACTAGCAGAAGTTTGGGTACAAATATGAAACCCTAGTTGGGGTTGTACCCCATATTGGCTACCCCACTACAGCCTACAAGCATAATACAGTTTAACAATTTTTAGCTGTTTGTGACACATAGAAAACAATATACACAAACTCACTAGAAAACAATATTGCTTAGTCAAACAAATATAGTTATATTCTCTAATATTTTCCCATTAACAAAAATCAATGTTACGACAGATTTACCATGAGGAATAACATATTAAAAAACTTAAAAGCATGTTATAAAGAGACATAGTTCATCGTTTTCTCTGTATACCATAGGTATAATATCAAGCTAGCACGATAGTGGAAGTCCTACGCAACCCTTACGACGTTAACGTCGAATCTTGTTTTTTTTTAATCAGTCTCAGCAATTTCTTGAAAGATAAACTTCATACATAAAGAGCAACATCTGCTCGAGCAACCACCGCACCGTTCATCATCACGTGTTTCAAGGTGACACGTCAGAACAAGATCAATAACCCGCACTCCCTTACGGTCGCGCAGCTTCAAAATATCAATGTTGTCTTTTCCTCTTCCCCTTCGTGTTGTTTTCTCCCTCGGGTGTCGCTCTCAGGTGCCGGTGTTTGTTAATCTGTCATGCCACTCCTGCAACATCTGCTCGAGCAACCACCGCACCGTTGATCATCACGTGTTTCCGATGACGCGTCAGAACGAGATCAATAACCGCACTCCCTTACGGTCGCGCAGCTTCAGAACACGGTGACTTTTCCTCTTCCCCTTTGCGTCATTTTCTCCCTCTCTTCATCTCGATCCATCGTTGTTGTCTCTGTCTTTCACCTACCAAGTCATCTTGTTCTGGTGGGTTGTCTATTTTTGGCACACCGCATGATCCAATGGACCCGCCTAAGACCCTCCTCGCTACACCAATTACGTGTCCCTCTGACCCCTGGCATAAGGTGTTCACTCATCCCTGTCAAACTATATATGCCGTAGTATAATCAGTAGGATGTAGAGGGGTAGCCCATATGGGGTACAACACAATTAGGGTTTCTATTTGTACCCAAACTTGCTCATAATTCATCATTCTTGCTAGTTCATTCTGACATGGTTTCAGAGCAGTAGGACCGTGTTTTTTTTTTCCGTGCCCACGATCGCTCGTTACCGCACTACCCCACGTGTTGACCTGCGCTGTGCCCCCTGCGCGCGCATTGCCCTGTGACGTGCTGCGTTGCGCGCGCCGTCCTGCAGCCCTCGCGCTGCCTGCTGCTGCCCCGCGCGCTGCCCTCTTAGCTCGCGCACTGCCCGCTGATGCCCCGCGCGCTGTCCTAGCTACGCGCGCGCCGCCCGCAACTGCCCCGCGCGCCATCCCCTCGCTGCTCGCGCGCCTACCCGGCAGCCCTCGCGCTGCCCGCTGCTGCCCCGCGCGCCGCCTCAGCAGCCCTCGCGCTGCCCGCTGCTGCCCCGCGCGCCGCCCCGGCAGCCGTGCTGCCCGCTGCTGCCCCGCGCGCCGCCTTAACCGCTCGTGCGCCGCCTCTGCGGCTGCCCAGCAGCCTTTGCTGCCCCGTGCGCCGCCACTGCAACCCCGCGCGCAGCTTCTCCCGGCCTGCTCTCTGCCCTGCAGCCCGCGCGATAGAATTCGCCACTTGGCTCGACGACCTCCAGCTGTTCCTTATGACCGATGCCAAAGACAGTGTTTCCCTATACGATCACGCGTCTGGCTCCTCCTTTGCTCCTGATGACACCGCTGACGCTCTCGCTCGCTCACAGTGGCAGACCCATAATGGTGCTACGTGCCTCGCTATTCGTAATCATTTGCCGATCACTGAACGTGCGCACTTTAGCCAGGACAAGACGGCTAAGGCACTGTATACCGCTGTAGTTGCCCGCTACTCTTTTCCAGCCACTGCATCCCTAGGTCGTCTTATCCTACCCTACCTGTTCCCCGACCTGTCCTCGTTTGCATTCGCCGAGGACCTCATCTCTCACCTTCGCGCTAGTGACGCTCGCTTCGGTGCCGCCCTTCCAGACGAGTTCCTCGCCGAGACCCCCCCCCCCCCCCCCCCTCCCCCCCTCGATGTACTTTACTCTCTACTTCCTCGTCACTCGCCTCTCTGATACTCTTCGTTCAGTCAGGGACCATTTTCTCGCCCTAGGACCAACCACTCTCACTGTCGCCGACTTCGAGAAGCACCTCCTAGCAGCCGAAAAGAACATTCTCGCTGTAGGTGCTGCTCGTGGCACTCCTCGCACTCCCCTCTTTGAGGGGTGCTCCCCCTCCCCTCTTGCCCACTCCTATGCCTCTGTTGCTGCTGCCGTCGACTTCCTTGGTGCTGAGGAGGTCGGGGCTGCTTCCGCTCCTAGTGGGAAGCGCCGCAGCGCCAGGGGCAGGGGCGGCAGGGGTGGTGGAGGTGGCGGTGGAGGGGGCGGTGGTGGAGGCGGCGGGGGAGGTGGAGGTGGTGGGGGTGGTCGTGGGGGTGGAGGTGGTGGTGGGGGCGGCGGTGGTACCGGGAGCGGTGGAGGTGGCAGCGGCGGTAGTGGGGGAGGAGGGAGCGGTGGTGGAAGCTGTGGTGGGGGCTGGAGTGGAACCGGCCATAAGGGGGGCTCCAGTGGTGGCCATGGGCAGCAGCAGCAGCAGCAGCAGCAGCAGCGTCAGCGCCAGACCCCCACGTCTCAGCAGCTTCGTGACTGGTACGCTCAGCGTGGGGCGTCTGGGGGTCCTGGTCGCTGCACGTATATCATTCGCACAGGCGCCCGCACTGGTCAGCCATGTGGCAAGTTTCACACTGGGTACCGCTGCTTCTCTCGGCTTAGCGACGCCTGACGTGACTGTCAACGGGAGTTGTGTTCGGCCCCGTCCTCGCTTGGGCGGAGCCGACCTCGTGGTCGGGTGTACGGGGGAGATGCAGCCGACCTGTGGTAGTGGGCACGGGGGCCACTGCAAGGGCGTTGTGTTGGGGGGCGCCTGGCTGGAGGGCGCCGAGCAGGTGGACGCCATCCTGCGCGTCTGGATGGCGTCCTGGGTGTCTGCTCGGCGTCCTGGGCGTCTGCCCTGCGTCCTGGGCGCCTGGACGCCGACCTGGGCGCCTAGGCGGCGTCCTGGGAGGCTGGACGCCGACTTGGGTGCCTGGACGGCGTCCTGGGTGAGTGGACGCCGACCTGGACGCCAGGACGCCGACCTGGGGACGCCGGATTTGGTGTAGCCAGTGACCGACTGAGCTGGGCGACCAGGCGGGGTTTCCCGGTCGACCGGGATACCCGGGCGACCCGTGCAAAGGTCGCCGGGGGGTGGTTTCTGCAAGGACGACCTCGGGGGTGGTATCCCGAGGTCGACGTGGTATCACGGGCGGGAATGTCTGCGCTGGGCACGTGACGGGGAGTTGGACGCCAACCAGCCGCGCACACCTGCACCGTTTACCTGCGGGTGCAACGCTGTGCAGCCGACTTGCTGCAGTGTTGCCACACCGTTGACATGCAACGTTGGCGCGCTGCATCTCTGCAGCGCTGGAGCGGTGCGAGCATTGCTGCGCTGGAACGCGGTCGACCGTGCTGCGCTGGAGGTCGACCAGCAGCCTAGCTAGCTCTGATGTAGTCTGTGTTGCCAATGTTGCTACTATTATTATGAACTATCATTGTGATGTTTTCCTAGTGGAACTCTTGCCAATTCTCCCCGTGAACTAGCAAGTAGTGTGCGCACAAGGAAACGACTAAGGAACAAACGAACGCAGAGATCCCTCTCACACACGTGCCTTCCCCGTAGTCAAGCTCCCGTTGTACGAGTTATCTCCGCAGTGACAAGTTTCCTGACGCTACTAAGTTCCCCCCCTGGGCAGACCTGCTTAGGCGTGATGTTCCTATCTTTGATCTTGACTATGATGCGATTCTTGCTGCCATGTATGCATTGACTGTTAGTGCTGAGGGTGACTGTTACTTGTGTGTGCCGCCTGACCCAGGTATAGAGACTGCAGCCCTAGGTGCTAGTGAGTCTGCCCCCCCTGGTACTGAGTCGACTCAGGCCTTGCACACGTTTACACTTGACTCTGGTGCTTCCCGCTGTTTCTTTCGCGATAGCACCACCGTCACTCCCCTCCCTGCACCTGTCCTTGTCTCACTGGCTGACCCCTCTGGGGGCCCAGTGCTTGCACGGTCCACCACTGTGCTTCCGTGCCCGGTGGTCTCGTCTGGTGAGCTGTCAGGTCTCCACATCCCCTCGTTCTCTACGAACCTGGTGAGCACCGCCGTCCTTCAGGATCATTGGGTTGACACCTTTACTCCTGGAGGACAGCGTGTGACGATCTGCACATGCTCTCGGACTGGTCGCCACCTGGCCACGTTCACACGTGCGCCTGGGTCCAGTCTGTACACCCTCACCACTGTGTCGCGCTACGCCCCTTTGTCTCCTCACGCTTGGTAGCTACCCAGTGTGAGTGTCGCCGCCTGTCGCACCAGACTCTCCTTTGGCACCACCGCCTTGGTCACCCCTCCCAGCCCCACCTTTGTGGCATGCACTCTCGTTCCCTGGTCCCTGGTCTTTCCAGGTCTCTGCCCTCCCTCCCGCCCTCACCTGCGCCGCCCTGCATTCCTTGCGTCGAGGGGCGGTAGCGCGCCGCTCCTCACTCCTCCTCGTCCCCTCCGACAGAGGCTCCACAGCAGACTCTCCACCTGGACGTGTGGGGCCCAGCCCGCGTCCAGGGGCAGGGCCGCGAGCGGTACTTCCTGCTGGTCGTCGACGACTACACGCGCTACACCACGGTCTTCCCCTTGCGTAGCAAGGGGGACGTCCCTGCTGTTTTGATCCCTTGGATCCGCGCTGTTCGTCTCCAGCTCCGCGAGCGGTTCCACTCGGACTTTCCTGTCCTGCGTCTGCACTCTGACAGAGGTGGTGAGTTCACCTCCGACCTCTTGCGAGCCTTCTATGAGGAGGGCATCCTCTAGTCGTTCACGCTTCCGCAACAGAATGGGGTTGCTGAGCGCCGCATTAGCTTAGTCATGGAGGTTGCTCGTACCTCCATGATCCATGCGGCTGCTCCCACTTTCTGTGGCCGTTTGCGGTCCGGTACGCCGCGCATCAGCTCAACCTCTGGCCCCGTGTCTCCGTGCTGGAAACCTCGCCCACACTGCGTTGGACGGGGGAGGTTGGCAATGCGTCGCGTTTCCGGGTCTGGGGTGCTCGTGCCTTTGTCCGCGATACCACCGCGAACAAGCTCTCCGCTCGCACCATTCCCTGCGTCTTCCTTGGCTTTCCCCCTGACGCGCCTGGCTGGCAGTTTTACAACCCGCCTCGCACCGTGTCTTTGCGTCTCAGGACGTCACCTTTGACGAGTCGGTCCCCTTTTACCGTCTCTTTCCCTACCGCACTGCCCCTCTTCCCCCCTCACCGCCCTTTCTCGCTCCAGGTCCCCCCTAGGTAGACCCCCTCCCCCCTTTTGGTCCTGCTCCTTCAGGTGTGTCTCAGGTAGACCCTCCTCCCTTGACTGAGCCTGTTGAGGTCACTGGTGACTCAGGTCCTGCTGGGGGTTGTCCTGTTCAGGGTGCTGCTTGTGGGGGTGCTGAGCCTGGGGGTGCGGAGCCTGGGGGTGCTGAGCCTGAGTGTGCGGAGCCTGGGGGTGCTGAGCCTGAGCGCGTGGGGCTTGGGGGTGCTGAGCCTGGGGTTGCTGAGCCTGGGGGTGCTGAGCCTGGAGGTGCTGCGCCTGGGGGTACTGAGGCGCCTGGTGAGCAGTCTCCTTGGAGAGGCTGCCTACGTAGTCGCTCCGCTGGTGCCTCGCCGCAGTACTCCCGTCGGCGTGAGCCTCTCTCCACACAGCAGCTGCGTGAGTGGTACGCTAGCCGTCAGGGTCGCGCTGCTGGAGCTGGGGGCCCTGCTGCGGGAGGCGCTGGCGTTGGAGGCACTGGAGCTGGTGATTCTGCTACTGGAGGCGCTTCTGCTGACGTCACTGGAGCTGGGGGTGCCGGTTCTAGGGGTGCCGAGTCTGAGCGTGCTAAGCCTGAAGGTAATGTGTCTAGTGGAGGAGGTACTGGAGCCGCTGGTCACGGAGGTGCTCGTACTGGAGGTACTGGAGCTGCTGGGGCTGGAGGTACTGCTGGACCTGGAGGTGCTGCTGACGACCCTGGGGTTGGAGACCCTGGAGCTGGAGGTGCCAGTTCTGGGGGTGCTGCTGCTGGTGGCGCTGGTACTGGAGGTGCTGGCGCTGGAGGTTCTGGAGCTGCTGGAGGTGCTGGCGCTGGAGGTTCTGGAGCTGCTGGAGGTGCTGGCGCTGGAGGCGTTAGAGCTGGAGGTTATGGAGCTGCTGGAGGTGTTGGAGCTGCTGGTGCTGGTGGCACTGCACAGCAGCGACTATATTTCGCTCCGCCGTCACGGTCGTCTCTGCAACCACCTGACTCCGTGCTTCGCCAGGTTCTTAGCCTCCCGTCTTCTACTGGTCTTCCGTTACAGCTTGGCTCACCGCTGCCTGCTCCTTCTCCTTACACTGAGCAGACAGGAGGTCTTGCTGAGCGTCGTGAGCCTGCGTCTCGTCCTGCCTCGCCTGTTCGCACTGTTCGCACTGGTCGTACTGGTCGGCGCCTCGTGAGCGTCCGCCTCCTATTCCCGGCACGCACCTCATGGCACTTCGTCCTTCCTCTGCTCCACAGCGTGTTCCCCTGCCGTCCCCTCCTGCGTCTTCTCTGCCTGACGTTCCAGACCATAAGTTTGACCTAGTTCGTGCTGCTCACCCTACTGTCACGCGTCTGTTAGCCACTGTTGTCACTGACCTTTCCTTTGAGTCTGCTGCTGCGTCTGCCTTGGTCACGACTTTGCTGCTGCTTGTCGTCTCGACTACGCCGCTAGTCTTGTTGCTGAGTCTGAGTCTGTCTGTCCTCCGTCCGTCGGGGGTGAGTGTGCTCTTGGTACGGACGTCCTTGAGGACAGGCAGGAGGACTTTGAGTGTCTTGCGGCTGCTGTACCTCATCTCATGGCCATGCTGCTTGCCCCTGAGGGAGACCCGGATGCTTTAGACATCCCGACCCCGCGCACTTACGCAGAGGCGATCGCTGGTGAGTACTCCTCTCAGTGGCAGACAGCCATGGACGCAGAGATGGCATCCTGGAAGTCCACAGGCACTTACGTTGACGAGGTTCCCCCTCCTGGGGCGAACGTAGTCGATGGCATGTGGATTTTCAGGGTGAAGCGGCCGCCAGGTTCTCCGCCTGTCTTCAAGGCTCGTTACGTCGCACGAGGCTTCAATCAACGACAGGGGGTTCACTTCTTCAAGACCTTCTCCCCCACCCTGAAGATGACCACTCTTCGGGTACTGCTGCACGTTGCCGCTCACCGTGACTACGAGCTTCACTCTCTGGACTTCAGCACAACCTTCTTACAGGCCAGTCTGCATGAGGAGATCTGGCTGCGCCGCCCACCTGGCTTCACTGGGTCGTTCCCTCCTGGTACCCAGTGGAGCCTCCGCCGGCCAGTCTACGGTCTCCGTCAGGCGCCTCGTGAGTGGCACGACACACTGAGGACGACACTTGCGGCTCTTGGGTTTGCACCTTCTACTGCTGACCCGTTGCTGTATCTCCGCACGGACACTCCGTTGCCGCCGTTCTATATCCTCGTGTACG